AAACCTATTTCTGATGGCAATTTTGTATACATCCTTGCCTATGCTTATCAGAAATAGATTGTGCGAGAGGTCTATTTAAACAAGTTTGAGGAATTTCCGGTGGATATGTTTGATGATTAGTATTAACTGCAGGTTTAGTAGGTTGCAAGAGCTCTGCAGCTTCTATGATAGACGTTGCGTACGAGAGGAGTATATCTGGAATTTTGTTGCTACTACCACTACTCAAAGCTTGATATATTTTTGACTGCATTTCAGCAAGATCAATAAGCTCATCTGCTGACATATTGCAGGATTTACTTATTACTTTTTCAAATTCCTCTCTAATATTTAATGCATTAGTTTGTGCCTCTAGTAAGGACACAGATTGCTCTGCTGTAGAAACNTAACGATTGTTCCATCTATCATTTGCACTTCCAAATCTGGATCTTGTGTATATTTGAGCAGCTTTTCCCAAATTCCCTTTTCACACCACTTTTTGAATCTCTTATGTACGCTTCTGTAATTGCCATATATTTCTGGTAAAAGTCGCCATTGGCAACCACTTCGAGCCATGTACCACACTGATTCCATGAACCTTCTTATCCGATCTTCGTTTTTACTGTGTATTCCTTTTACGCTTTTCAAATTTGCAAAAATTTGTTTCCATTTTGTTTCTTGTATGTAATATTTCATTTGGTAGTTTCTCCTTATTTATTCACGGTTAAACTACCACTTTTTTCTTATTTCTCCAAATTTTGGTTCACAGAGCCTAATATTTAATGCATTAGTTTGTGCCTCTAGTAAGGACACAGATTGCTCTGCTGTAGAAACATACTTTTTACCTGTAACTTTTCTTACCAGTACGTCAAATAACATTATTATACCGTTGACATCAATATTCCATATGGATGTTTCTCTGTTAAATTGGTTAATATTCTCTTGCTTGCTTTCTGCTGATTGTGCACTAACTATATTATATAGTCCTTGAGTGATTCCTATTACTAATTGTGGTAGCCATGGTGTTACTGTGTTTGCTCCACTTGTCACATATTTCTCTTGTATAGCATGGATATTATTAGTCTCTTTATATTTTTTTCTTATTGTCATCTCTTCTTCTGCTAATCTCTCTTCATTGTGTGCAACATAAGATTCTACGTTTGGTACTGCACTATCTGAGTTTTCTGTATCTATAGATCTAGAAAGAGGATCTGGAATACCGCGGCGATTACGTTTGTTATAGCCACCCTTTGATCTGAGATAAGAAGCTACTGCATTATGGCCATTATCTTCTGCTATCTTTAACGGAGTAGGACCCCATTGTTCGTTACAAAAAATTAGACAGCTCGACTCTTTCCAATGATATTGTTTATTAACTGAAACTCCTACTTCCTCAATAAAATATTTAACAATATTTAATTTACCTTGTTGAGCAGCTCTATGAAGAGGAGTGTAATTATGAGCATCAAGGACATGTACATTAGCACCTTTTTCCACAAGATACTTTACAACATCTAATTTGCCTTCTTGTGCAGCCAAGTGTAGTGAAGACCAGTGATGGCCACCAATTGCACCTTTAAGGTTAATATCAAGGAGTTTTTCTTCTATAAAATATTTTACTACGTCCAAAGCGCCACCTTCTGCAGCCCTATGAAGGGGAATATAACCATGCTTATCAGTAGCATGTAAAGCAGCATCTTTATCTATAAGGTATTTCACTACATCTAATTTATTCTTGTAGGCAGCCCAGTGTAAGGGAGTCCAGTGATAGCCACCATCAGCACCGTGAAGGTTTACGTCAAGATGTTTTTCTGTTATAAAATATTTTACTATATCTAAAGCACCACTTTCTGCGGCTCTATGAAAAGGAGTATAACCATATTCGTCAATAGTGTGTAAGTTAGCACTGCTGTCTATAAGGTATTTCACTATATCTAAGTGGTTATTCCTTGCAGCCCAGTGTAAAGGAGTATAACTATCATCATCTTTAGCATCTAGGCTGATTCCTTTATCAACATACTCTTTGACCAGATCAAGGTTGCCTTGTTTTGCCGCATTAATTAGATCAAGCTGTGGTTGTCTTAAAAAGTTTTTTACTTGAACTGAGAGAGCTAAATCTAAAGCAGTATCGCCATTGTTAGTTTTAGCATTAACATTAACACCTTTATTAACAAAAAACTTAACAACGTCCATATGACCATTCCATGCAGCATAGTGCAGAGATGTCCAGCCATTTCCAGTAGCAACAGCATTAATATCAGCCCCTTTTTCTACTAAAAATTTCACTACCTCTAGTTTACCATTTTGAGCAGCATAGTGTAAAATTGTTCTGCCGTCATTGCTCTTTCCATCCCTAATATTAACATTAATATTTTTTTCGTTTATAAAATACGTAACTATATCTAGCTGACCGTGCCAGGCTCCTAAGATTATAGGAATATTACCAATACTATCCCTAGCATAAATATTGGCACCTCTCTCAACGAGAAACTTAGCAGTATTTACGTGACCTTTCCATGCTGTATAGTGCAGTGGTGTCCAACCATTGCCAGTAGCAATATCATTAATACTAACACCCTTGCTGAGAAAAAACTCAATAACATCTTTACTACCACCTTGAGCAGCAATATGTATAGCTTTTCTATGATTGCTATCAGCGTCTATAGCATAAATATCAGCACCTCTCTCAACAAGGAATTTAACAATATCTAAATGACCTTTCCATGTTGCATAGTGTAGTGGTGTCCAGCAATTTCCAATAGAAATACTATTAACACTAACACCTACGTTGAGTAAATACTCAATAATATCTTGATGACCACTTTGAGCAGCAATATGTATAGGTTTTCTATGATTGCTATCAGTATCTGCAGCATTAATATCAGCACCTTTATCAATAAGATATTTTACTATATCTAATTTGTTGGTGTAGGCAGCAATATGTAGAGGAGTCCAGTGATAGCTATTATCAGAGCTGTGAAGGTTTACGTCAAGGTGTTCTTTTTCTATAAGATATTTTACTACATCTAAAGCACCTCCTCCTGCAGCCCTATGAAGAGGAGTATAGCCATTCTTATCAACAGTATGTAAGTTAGCATCTCTGCTTATAAGATATTTTACTACATTTAAATGATCATTGAGAGCGGCCCAGTGTAAAGGAGTACGATTATTATCATCTCTAGCATTCAAGCTCACTCCTTTACTAACATACTCTGTAACCATATCAAGGTTGCCTTGCCTTGCAGCATTAATTAGATTGAGTTGTGGTTGTCTTAAAAAGATTTTTACTTGAATTGTAGTAGCTAAGTCTAAAGGAGTATTACCTTTATTGTTTTTAGCATTGACATTAGCACCTTTATTAACGAGGAATTTAACAGTATCTAACTCACCTTGCCATGCAGCATAGTGCAGAGACGTACAGTCGTTTTGATCAGTATCATCAATATCAATACCCTTGCTGAGAAAAAACTCAATAACATCTTTACTACCACCTTGAGCAGCGGCATGGATTGGTTTTTTATTGAAGTCATTAGCAGCTTTGGCCTTAATATAGGCACCTTTATCAATAAGAAATTTAACAGTATCTAACTTATCATAAAATGCAGCATAGTGCAGGGGTGTCCAACCATCCCCAATAGTAACATCATTAACACTAATACCCTTACTGAGAAAAAACTCAATAACATCTTTATTACCACCTTGAGCAGCAACATGCATAGGGTTTCTATGATAGGTGGTGGCGTCTGTGGCATTAATATTAGCACCTTTATCAATAAGAAACTTAACAACGTCTAAGTGACCTTGCAATGCGGCATAATGTAGAGGTGTCCAGCCGTCTCGATCAACATCATTAACATTAGCACCCTTGCTGAGTAAAAATTCTATGATATTTTTATGGTCATATTGAGCAGCAATATGTATTGCTTTACTACGATCGGGAGTAATGCTCACAGCATTAATGTGAGCGCCTTTATTAACAAGAAGCTTAACAACGTCTAAGTTACCTTTCCATGCAGCATAATGTATTGGTGTCCAACCATTTCCAACAGCTATATCATTAACATTAGCGCCCTTGCTGAGTAAAAGCTCAATAACATCTTTACTACCGCCTTGAGCAGCAACATGTATAGATTTTCTACCATCTGCAGTAGTATCCACAGCATTAATATTAGCACCTTTAGTGTCAATCAGGTATTTGACAATATCTAAATGACCATTGTTAGCAGCTCTGTATAAAGGAGTCCAGCCATCATTGTCTTTAAGAGCAAAGTTAACTCCTTTAGTATTAATCAAGTATTTTACTATATCCAAACTACCGGAAGAAGCGGCCCAATGTAAAGTAGTCCAACCATAATTGTCCTTAAGAGTAAAATCAGCTCCTTTGGTATCAATTAAGTATTTCACTAAATTCAAGTTACCAGAAGAAGCAGCTAAATGTACAGGTGTTCTGCCATCATTGGATTGAAGAGTAAAATCAGCCCTTTTATCATCGATCAGGTATTTGACAATATCTAAGTGACCATTAGCGGCAGCTCTGTGTAAGGGAGTCCAGTCACTATTGGATTCAAGAGTAAAATCAGCCCCTTTAGTTTCAATCAGGTATTTTACTAAACTCAAGTTACCAGAAGAAGCAGCCAAGTATAAGGGGGTCCAGCTATTATTAGATTGAAGAGTAAAATCAGCTCCTTTGTCATCGATCAGGTATTTAACAGTGTCTAATTGACCATTAGCAGCAGCAAAATGTAAAGGAGTCATGCCGTAATTATTCTCCACATTAAGATCGGCCCCTTTGTTATCGATAAGGTATTTAACTGCATCTAATTGACCATTAGCAGCAGCCAAATGTAAAGGAGTATAGCCATTACTACCAGGAACTCTGAAATCAGCTCCTTTTTCTACTAGATATTTCGTTATATCCCCAGAAGTAGAAAAATATATTGGGGTGTCACCATTTTTATTAGCAACATTAAAATCAACGCCTTTTTCTACAAGATATTTTGCTACATTAAAGTGATTACTCAAACTAGCAAAGTGTAGAAGAGAGTTGCCATAATTATTGGTAGCTCTTAAATCAGCACCTTTTTGAACAAGATATTTCACCATATTTAAGTGGCCTCTTGCAGTAGCTAGAAATAGAGGAGTATTACCATAATTATCAAGAGCATTCACTTCTGCACCTCTTCGTATTAAGTATCTTATTACACCTAAATTGCTATTTAAAGCTGCTAAATGCAGAGCAGTGTTGCCTTTATTATCACTTTGATTAGGTGAGGCGTCTTTGCCATCTATGAAATACCTGAGCATATCTAAATTGCCACTTAAAACAGCCAAGAGAAAAGGAGTATAATCGTTGTTGTTCTCCGTATTTAGGTCTACTTGGTTGTGATCGATAAAGTGCCTAACGATATTTAAATGACCTCGTAAAGCAGCAATATGCACGGGAAGATTGCCATATTTATCTTGTTTATTTGAGTCAAAGTGTTTTTTATCTGTGAGATACCTGACTATATTTAAATGACCACCATAAGCAGCCCAATGTAGTACAAACCCCTGTTCAGCACCTTTGTCTACAAGAAACTCAACTATCTCAAAATAGCCGTTACTAGCTGCAAAATCTATAGGATTCATACCGTTCTGATTTTTGCTGTTAACATTAACTTCTTTGTTATTGACTAAAAATTGTACGATATTTAACTTACCATTATAAGCAGCAAGTCCTAAAGGGGTATACCCATCTTTTCGTTCTGCATATAGGTCAGCACCTTGTTCAACAAGACGTTTCACAATATCTAAATTGCCACTTTCAATAGCAAAGTGAAGAGGTGTGCAATCATATTTGTCCACATCCTCAATTGATGCACCTTTATCTAGTAGCTCTGAGATAACATTATCTTGTTCACTTGATGCTGCAATATGTAGTGGAGCTAAATCATCTTGCCCTTTTGCACTTATTTCAATATTATTAATTGATAATAATTCTAAAGTAATATTTTCTTGTTTGGCATTGATTGCTAAATGTAAAGGAGTCCAACCGTCAGATGATTTTTCATTAACATTAGCTTTATTATGCCTGATTATAGATTTAATGCTTGCTAAATCACCAATTAAGGATGCAAAATGCAAAGCTGTTAAGCCGCTTTTAGTTTTGATGTTAACATCAATTCTGTCACTCATCAATAAGGCTTTAACAGCATCACCATATTCACCGATTGTTGCTAAATGCAGAGAAGTAAATCCTACTTCAGATTGCGCATTAATGTCAGCCCTACTATCTTGCAATAAGGAAATAATGACATTATTTTTGCCAAAAGAAGCAGCAGTATGCAGAGGAGAAAATCCTCTATTGTTTTTTGCATTAATGTCAATACCTTCGATCTGCATTAATTTGCTAACAGTATTAACGTGACCCTTTTCAGCCGCAATATGTAAAGCTGTATCTCCTAAGTCGGTTTTTGCGTTGATATTTGCACCATTACTTATCAAATTTTGAATCAAATCTTCATAGCCCATCTCAGCAGCTATGTGAATGGGAGCATAACCGTTTATATCTTTAGCATTGATATCAGCACCCGCATTTTTTAAAATATGTATAATTCTGGAATTACCATTTTCTGCAGCAGCATGAATTGCCTGTCTACTTCTTTCATATCTGGCATTAATATCTGCTCCATTTGCAAGAAAAACTCTCATTTCATCTATGGCTACATCTTCGTTTGGCTCTGAAACAGCGTTGTAAAGATCTCTATTAATATCTCTAAACTCTCTCTGATTGCTATCTGTAACAATACCAGCTAGTTCTGGTTTATCATTATCAAATTTTCTAAAGATAAGACGAGTTCTTCCTTGTGGATCAGTTCCTATATCAAGCGATGGGTTTGCTTTTTCGCGTATTGCATATGGTGTAGACCATTCTCCAACTTGATAGTAGGTGCTGTTACTGTGAAATTGTACTGCATAACTGACCCTCCTTTTATCTTCCCATTTTCCAATAGGCGTGTTTATCCGTGAGCTAGAAAATTTATACTTTACTTTTTCGGTTGATTTTTCTTGAGATAGATTGTTTATTGCAGCAATCTTAGATTTTATTGAATTTAAGATATCTATTCTTTTTGCTGCAAGTGTTATTATATCTTCTCTTTCGTCTTGAATAAAGTCATACGATGTGACTTCACTCAATATACTAATTGCTTTATTGATTAAACCATTGTTGTCAGTTAATGAGTTTTTAAAATCATAAAAAGTTGTTGAAGTCAAAAAAAGGTAGTGATTATATTGCTCTAAATCATTTTGTTGATAGTAGAAATTAGCAAGGTAACTATATTCTTCGAGTAAAAAGGACATTACAGAAGTATAAATTTCAGTTCCGAAATACAATAGACCAAGTGCAGTAAATGCTATTTTATCATCGGAATTTTGCGGAATAGCAAGTCTTTGATCAACGATGTGATATAAAAATGTATGCAGGCTTCCTGGTTGTTGTGTTCTAGAATTTTGCAGGCGGTGTAAAGTGCTATTTATTTCTTCAAGCTTAGTAATATATTGGTCATGAGTTAAATTTTTTATCGCATCTTTCTCTTGTGTGAAATGTCTAATAAAAGTAATTAACCCTGAAGTTACTTCCTCTATTTTTGTGTGCTTGGCAAAATCAATTATTGCTTGAAACTCTTTTTCTGTTGCACTTGTGGGATTATATTCTAATATCTTAAATCCTGATAACATTGCTTTGAGGTTCTTGTCTGCCTTACTTTCTACTCTTTTAATCGCACCATCGTTTCTATTTACTTTTGCTTCTACCCTTAAAATATCTTCATAGTTTCTATCCACCTTACTATTAATGACCATAAGCATAAAAGTAATGCCCATGAGAATGCTAGTGTTAGTGAGAGGCAAAACTAAACCTTGATTACCTAAAAGGAGGTTATGATTTTTATCGATAGCCCAATAATTTTTAGTTAATTGTCCGGAAAGGTCATTATTCATAACATACCTTTCTATTTTTTCTAAAGATAGTGCTGCTTTGTCTCTACTTAAATTAATCAGCGATTCAGGTATTGTATTGAAAGCATGTTTATTAAGATCTACAATATCAGCAAGACTTACTAAAATTTCATATACATTTGCAGCTATAGTCGAACTTTTCTTTGAGCAATGAAGTTGCATCAATCTATCTTCGTCTGCATCCTCAATAGACCTTTTACGTAACTTGATTTCCGATGGTAATTTTGTTGTTGAAGCTTGTTTACGCTTCTCAAATTCATTATGAACAATACTACTGTTTGTAGCTGTTGATTGCTGTTTATTTACACCCATTTCACCCCCTTAAGTTTACATTCCTCACTAAATAATGTCAAATATGGCTTCTTTATAGCACAAATATTTTTAGTGTCAACGATTTTTTTTGAGTGAATTTGATATGAATGAAAAACTCAACTGACCAAGAAGTGTTAGCTTGTAGGTTTATAATCTATGGCTACTGTCTTTGCAATTTTATCATAAAAGAACTGCTTGCGCTTATCAAATACTGCAGATATAAGAGATGATACTATAGATAGGTGAATGGCAGTTGATAAAAATTCATATAGCTGTTTGTTCATATAGTTGTGAAGGGATTGTTTTTCAGCAACTACAAGCATAACTATTATCATAACTTGAATGGCTTCAACAAAGATATACCTAATTGTTGCTTGCATAAAAGTAATATTTTTAAGTGTATTTATATCTTTAATACAGATGCTGCACAATAGTTGTCCCGGAGTTCCGCCAAATCTTCTTACCATGAATATATTAAATATTATCGATGGTAAAAACTCAAAACAGAATGCCGCAGGGTTAACAGTTGTGTCTACACGAGAAAAAAAGACTAAGTAAGTAATCCCCATAATAATAAAACCGTCGACGATGTATGCTATAGTACGCCTAGTTATTCCTACATATACATAATCTGATTTTAAATTGCATTCTTCAGACCCATAATTTATTACTACTGTTTTTGCAATTTTATCATAAAAGAACTGCTTTTGTTTATCAAATATTGCGGCTATTAGAAGCAATATTGATAAAATAACAAACCATCCATAAAAGTAGCCAGGTACAAATAAAAGTCCTTTAAGAACGCTTCTTATCACTACTTGTATAAAAGTAATATTTTCGGATGTATTTGTATGTTTAATGCGTATACCATATAGAAATTTTCCTGGGGTTTGACCAAATTTTGTCAGCATTAGTATTTCTAATACCACAGACATTAGTGATCCTATCACTATGTCTTGTAATGAAAAAAGGGTTGTATCATCAAAAATAATACGATCTATATCATCAATGTTGTGCAGGTCTGAGTACAGAGGTTTATCCAATATGAAAAAAAATAATAAGCCATAAATTATGTAATATATCTGTTGGTCAACAACATACGCTATTATGCGTCTGATACTTCCTGCGTAATTTACTTGCGTGTTCATTTTACACCTCACATACTACTGTTTTTGCAATTTTATCATAAAAAAACTGTTTGCGTTTGTCGAATATTGCAGCTATTAGAGCCAATATTTGTAAAATAAAAAACCATCCATTAAAACAAATAGGTACAAATAGAAGTTCTTTAAGAACGCTTCTTATTACTACTTGCCTAAAAGTAATATTTTCGGATGTATTTTCATGTTTGACACGTGCACTACATATAAATTTTCCTGGGGTCTGGCCGAATTTTGTTAGCAATAGGATCTCTAATGATATAACTATTAGAGATCCTATTGCTATGTCTAGCAGTGAAAAAAGGTCTGTATAAGAAGTGGTATTTATGTCAACATTGTACAGCTCTGAATGGAGAAGCTTATAAAATATGAGCCAAAGTAATAAGCTATTAATTAGGTAATATATACCTTGATCAACAACATACGCTATTATTCGTCTGATCATTCCTGCGTAATTTATTTGTGTGTCCATCTTTATACCTCATATATATGATCACCAAGTGTAGCATCTAGTAATTAAACAATAGTAAAATTGATGGCTGTCTTCTCTGAGTTATCT